CGGGATGACTTCAGAAGCGTAATGACTTACAACTTCGATTCGGACTATCCAGCTTCATACTCCATCCTAGTTACCAACGTTTAGTATGAAAATTAAGCGTTGAAGCATTTGAATTTCGCCGCTACCAGTGAGGGAAGTCAAGGTATGTAGGAAGCTGTTTGTTGTAGCCTTCTGGACCAGTCACAGCGATTTCTATTTTAAGGAAATTGGCTTGAGTTTTAGTGAGCTATTCGAGAACTTAATTTCTATAGTATACTGGCTGAGATATTAAATGGTAACAGATTTAAAGCAGTTAGTCCCATTAGTAGATTTCGATAATGCAGTGAGAATTCAGAGTTTTTCATCAAAAACCAGATCATCTACATGATGGCTTCATGTCCTACTGTTTAGCAGTTTACACGTGTACACGGACACGTCTACATAGGGAGATGTGATTGCGATTCACAAGTAAGTGTAGCTGTAGATATTTCAAAAAGGCAACAAAAGCAAACGAGATCAAATAACCCTACAACAGAGAAGGATAATCATCCACCTCTCCTCATTTCTAAACACAGTTATGGCTTTGTATAGAAGGTGTATGGGCCAAATAATTATGTTCACTGAAGTCTTAGCTGTGCAATAGTTCAAATCCCTTCTGTATATTCAAAAACAGTTTATACTCACTCATCATATCCTACTATTAACGTCGAATTATTATCCAGAGTGACAAGATTCACACTATTTTTCCCTATTATTTTTATTTCTCTCTTAGATTTCAATTTATCTAATTGACCTATTTTTATCAGAAGGGGTTTTGTAGAGATTTTAGTAATTTCAATAGTTGAAATCATGAATCAATTGAAGTTAGACTACCATGAAAAATCTGGAAGCATTGGACGGCCGTTTCTTCCTATTGTGGGACTCCTCAGAAGTGCACATCCACAATCCCGCATCACGAGATTCCAACCCAGGACATATCAATCTCGAGAGCGAACGCTTGACAACTAGACCACTCAGTCGACCGGCATCCAACGGTGTTAATGTCAACCTTCAACCAATACACGAAATTGAGCGACACATCCACGATTGTCTTCACTGAGTTATTACCTCACAACAGACCCTGTTGAACTCGATTGGTCACTGTTTCTCACTAGAACTCCAGAAAACACCTCTTAAAGCAAGTTACTAGTGAGCATATGTTGATTCACTATCAGAAGGGCTAAATAATATTCCAAATATGGCTTAGTTATCAAGTGACGAATACAAAAATTAATAATAATAATAATAATAATAATAATAATAATAACCGATATGATGTATAATAAATGAAGCAAATAATCACAGATACAAATCATGTTTTATATCACGTTCTATTGATAAAGTTCAATAGACTATAGATTAAGTAATTCAGAACAAATGTTATTATTAAAGAAATAATGTAGATGTTAATATTGAAAGGATGTTTAGATATTTTGCCCTAAAATTATTTTTAGTCTAATGAATGGATAAAATAGATCTTTTTTTATCAAAATAAATCAATGAAATCTGACGTATAAACAAAACAAAATAAAAACTTATTATGTTATGCGAAATTGGATAGTGGCTAGCAGTGGAATCCAGTTTAGACGCGCGTTTCGTCCTGTTTGGGACTCGTCAACTGGACGTACCTGCATCTCAGAGTTGATGTTCACTCTGGGGCTCGAACTCAGTACCGTTCGCTTCAAACGGCATCGCGTTATCCACCTAACTACTGAGTCCTGATAGCCATTTGCTTGTGCAATGGGGTGAAGTTTAATTCACTTGATATTGTTTTAAGTGAATCTTCCCATTGATGTTTTAGGACTGGAATTGAGGCAATATCGAGGCATACGCACAGTATGCACATATACCAATAAGAGACTGATCAATTTCAGTCCTAAAACATCAATGGGAAGATTCAAGTAAAACAATATCAAGTGAATTACTATATGTTATGTTATTTTATTTTCAGATATTCACAATAAGACATACATTGGCTAATAAGATAGATTCATTTAATACATTTAGGATAATAGTCTTATTTCATGGGTTGAAGACAGTATAGTATTTCAAATACTACTGTAGTGAACAGAACACGAGTGGGGACAATCGGATGAATTTAACACAAAATTACAGGACTTGTTAATAAAATCTAACAAACATAAAGTAAATGCTTAATTTGGAAAATGTCCACCAATTGTCTCAAAACGACTCAGACTTCATTGTTCTTGCATTTTCATACAAATTGCATTTTGTTTCTATTCTTTACTGTTCGATCCTCGTCTCTTTGCTGCCAGACTTTCTGTTCACGACTAACATCATCTACTACTTATGTCAATATGAGTAGCACACAACACATTGGTAACTCTCTCAAAATATGTTGTTGTTGTGTTTTTGTTTTCTCTGAACTGGATGGTATAACTATATTCTCATTAGGGACAAAATGAACTGTGGATTAATTCACTGTTTAGCTTGGACAAAATAAAATTTCATGCACCATCCAATCTTACAAGTTATTTTATTTTAAGATTACTTATTTAGTAAAACGAAATACGATAAGTTAATGTTGGAATTATCATGCAAACTGTTATATAGAATAAAATCGGTTTGATTTCCTGGATAACTTTATATCTAAAGAAATATTGGAATATGCTTTCACTGAGTTCAGAAGCTGACTTCCTTCATAATCTCTGCTTGAAAGGATCACGTCCGTATGTTGCAGTAATTTTTTTAGAAAACTAACTCATTTCTATAAATCGATATAACTAAACGAAATAGTAGAAGCCACCTCCACAAGCACTAGTATAAGTTCATATGAACGCTTAATTCAGTCTTCGTCGATAAGAGAGACCCAGCCATGTGGATATACTGAGGTACAACTTCTTTCACTCAGATTATTACAGCAACTTTTGATTGCATTCAGATCTATGAACATCAAGCCCCCAAATGCCATGGTGCGGTCGAGGGTGAGAAGAATTCGCTCTCCCTCTCCAAATGCTCTCATATAGCAACATGTATACAACCGATGTCAGTAAAGTTCTACTCACTGCCTTCTCGCGTTCAAGGTGTTGTTTACGAAATCGAGACGAGAAGCGGATGTCCGGAGCTTTAACAGGGTTGATGAGCATAGATCCACCTAGAGGAGTTGGAAAACCCTGGTCCCAAACTAATCGTGCACACGAACTCCAGGATCCTGAGTGAACCAATTATTGGTCACCGGCCACCATGGGATTGCATCTCTTGACGTTGCTCCATTGCCTTGTGGATTAGACCTTTAGGTCGAAGGCTGCGGGTGTAGCTCCCTAAGAAAACAACCCGCTTTGGTTTGGGTACCCGGGAAGTATCCCAGCCCACATGCAAATCAAGTGACTTTTGTGGCGTATATGTATTCGGTGCCCTTTTGTACCAACATTTGTGTTCAAATAAATAAATATGAATATCATAACATTCGATAGTCCACAAGCAATACAAATAATATTCGTGAATAAACAATCCACCATATTTTATAAACTTAAACTAGTCCTATTTCAAAGTAAATAATAAAAGTAATATTTTCTAAAGTGGAATTTACTGCAGTCAGTCAGCAACAACGTAGAACTTCGTAAGTACATACATCAGTTCGAGTTGCCATACCACATTAGCACACAGACACAATTGTCGATTCAAATCCCATAGTGGTAGAGGTAATCGGAAACACTAGGGTTTGAAGATGTTATTCAACGAGCATAATCCAGTGAAACAAATTTGGCGAGAAAAAAAGGGACATTAAGAATTCACATTAGAATTTGGTAGAACACGAAAAGTGGACGCACCCGCACCATTGCAAACGGTTCCGAGCCAAGTCAGTCAAGGTCTCTGATCATCGTCTTGCGGATCCCAAATAGTTAGTCTACACCTACCGAAATGGCTCAGACCAGAAGTCAGTGACTTTATGGAATGATGCCACGTTTTGGTCTGGCCGCCCCTAGCTTTTTTGCAACCTACTCCTAAACCATAAGACATCGCTCGTCGGGGCAGAGGGTGGTTGGACATACGTAACACATGTCCCGGCCATTGGTGCAACAGTCAGTTAATTATATTGTGAAATTGGCAATGGAATGGTCAAACTATTATCTTTATATTGATTACTGGACAATCAAATGACGCAGGTACCTATATTTATTTAGAAAAATAACACCGATACAGCAAGGCGAAGTTATATTTTACTCAATCCAACATACTGTTTCATTAAAGAATATGAGGTTTTACAACAGAAAGTAGCTAACTGTACAATACAAGTAAATTGGAAAAAAAAGTAAAAAACCTGAAACTCGGTTATTAATGTAAACAATCAAATTTCGAAAACAAAAAATACACCATACACATTCATCACATACATAAACTAAGTATTTTGACGTCCAAAACAATAGGTTTGTGATGTATAAAAATTAGTATAGGTAATTTCTAGCGTTGAATTATTTTTAGAACACTAGTGATCAGTCGAAGGAGCGATTGAGCAAATCGACTGAAAACTACTCATTTCTCCAGTTTGATTTTCTAAATAACAGTTAAACATAAGGAGGAGAAAAAGAAATGTACAATTATGATAGTAGTAATAACAATAGTAAAGTGGTACCCAACAGAGTACAATTAATAACCAATGTTTTAATTTGTGTATACTTCTACAACATGCAAAAAAAAGAACAAGCCTTTTGAATAACAAGACTTTTAGGTATGAAAGTAAATAAAAGCTGTTCAATAACTTAGAAACAAAAGATTCCAAAGAGGATAGTTCACACTGATTAATCCAATCTCAATGATATAGGACAAAATACGACTGCTTTCTTCCAGGAAAAGACATATATAAGGAAAATCTAAACTTTTCGACGTAGAAAGAGATTTTTTTGAAAAACTGTGATAAATGACAGCAATGAACAGGGGACAGTAGTCATAAAGTTATTCACCTGACGCTTTAATTATAGTCTTAAAAGCAAAGAAATCGGAGATGCAGTATTTCAAGATTTTTATAATTTCCCTTTCGCTTTAGCCCCACGAGGTGGAGTAATTGGTCGGCTTCCAGTTGGGACGCCAACGTAATACTTTTTCTTTTCAGCTGGACGCAAAATCTACAAATGAAACAAGCATGAAAACCGAACGAATTAATGATAAAACAACAAGCGGATTATCTAAAATAGCAGTCCACACAAGTTGTTTATTAATTATTTGTAATAATTTTATGCCAAGACAATCTTCTATGTATGTCCGATTGCATTCATCTTTGTTGTGATATACGATTGATAGAGTTAATGATAAATAATTTGAGAGCCCAGTAATGTTCAGAAAAAGGAAACAATATATTCCAACGTTTGATAAAAATTATTACTACACTTTATGGTAAATATATTTGTCAATATACTAGTTGGAAAGGTGGTTCAAAATCTGTCAGTGTTACAGATAAATTTATTGATTATATTCTTAATTATTCAGAATTCCTCTACTATTTAATACTTCGTTATTCAGTGAGTTTCTATCTTTACGAACCTTTTTCTATATTTGGTTCTTTTCATTATTGTTGTCCTAATTTTCACAATGAGAATCTTTAATATTCTTTTCATTATCACTGATACTGGTATTAATTCGACTTCCTCACTACTGGACTTTATATATATATATATATATATATATATATATATATATATATATCGCTATGCGGTAATTTGGTACGATAGATATATGTGCTAGTTCTAGGTTGACTATGACTGATTGCCCTCTCAATAATTATGATAAACAAACATGATACCTTTAAGAGGAAATGCCTTTTGTCTTTTTGGTAATATATATGAATGGATGCAAACCGTATATAACAAGCTTAATTCACCGTCATATTCATGTATAGTAATTAGCTGTGAATATAATTATACTGTGTGTTGAACTATTTTAGGCAGACATAACTGTTGCTAATTAATAACAGTAATAGCCTACAGTAAATATTAATACGAATAAACAGTAGTCTTAATCATTGTTGTTAATCATTTACCAAAAACAAGTCAATGTACCTAGTTTTGAGTCACATCTTTGACGTGGGAGTTAGTTGGCTACCTCAGACCAACTACCAAAAGTCGAGTTCTTTGACCATTAAACCACTGCTTCCGTAATTATCAAAGACAAAATTCTATTTTTAAGTGTTATTAAATCTTCATACTAAGTAGTTAGGTGAATAATTTTAAAACACCCATCAATTGCGTTTAAAAGAAGCAAATGTCCTTCCTTTTCCATCATTGTGAAGAAACCCTCAGATGTAAGAAGCTGGTAAAAACCTAAAGTAAATTAGTTTTACCACTTATAATGTCGCCTTTGCTCGTTTAGCGTTAATATATGGAACTATATGAGGTTTGGTAAATAATAGTTTACATCTGGGTCTGAACTAGTTTTTCAGGAAGTCTATCTGAGACTATTAGTAAGAATGAAGTAGTAGCAGAAATTTCGAGGTGAATTCTATGTCGTATTTGTGTTTGCTCACCACTTATCCAATCATATCAAAAATAAGAGTAGAATACTATTAACACAATTTTCAACCTTACTTGAAATGAGCACAATAATGTATCATCTACTGACATCATAGCTCCTGCATTATCAAATTCACCGCAATAATTCGGAGCGGAAAAAAGAGTAACTAATTGACGCTTGGCGAAGAATTCATAACCGTCTTCGACAACCTGAAGTTGTGAGTGAGAATTTTTTGCACGTTACCTGGTGAGCACGGCATATTAAATCCAAATCATGTTTATGTAAAAATCTGGCCACAATATCTGGACCGAATGTATAACTAACACCGCGATCGTTTTCACCCCAACCAGTTACATCTTTATCTGGATCTGACCAAAGTAAATCACATAATAGTCCTTGATCAGGAACATCCGTAGGACGCATGATGCGTCTTATCTGTTCCATTGTTGAAAGATCAGGTGAGAGACCTATGATGGAATATCGCATAAAATAAGAAACTAACCGCCATGACAGCAGAAAATTTTCTCGTCTATAATTGCTACAATCGGCAAACAATTGAAACAATCTGTGAAGGTTTTCCACAATTTTATATTATATCGACGTTTGCCTATATGTCAAATAAGCCCCAACTAAACACTTACATTCATCATAAAATCCATATATGCGGTTAATAGAGGCACATTCATGATTACCCCTTAGCAAGAAGAAATTTTCTGGATATTTGATTTTATAGGCTAGTAGCAGGCATATTGTTTCAAGAGACTGCTTTCCTCGATCCACATAGTCACCCAAGAACAAATAATTTGCTTCGGGAGGAAATGCTCCATACTCGAAAAGTCGGAGCAAGTCATAATATTGTCCGTGAATATCACCGCATATTTTGAGGGGAGCCTCCAGTTCTAGTAAAATAGGTTGACTTAAAAAGATTTCGCGAGACTTCAGACACAGCCCGCGGATTTCTGCTTCGCTCATTTGGACGTTTTTGCCAGGACGAGTGCGTCGAACTGAATGACATAAAATAGATATAAAAACATGACAGTATTCAAATCACAAAATGAGTGTTTAAATTTAAGTCACTTCAGTCCTGAAAGATTTCAAATACAAAGGCAATTAAATATTACTTAGATCCAGTAAAATTATTCGTTGATCATATTGACAATGAGATGATCATAACAGTGAGAACCTACAAAACAATTATTCCAACATCCTACTACGTTAGAGACTGGTGTTCTGTACTGACCCATTTGATGAAGCGGTCTAGTAAATTCTGTATAGCGATATTTATGTTCTAATGTAAGATGAACATTCACTACGCACAGACTGACCAAAACTATTCTGTAGTGTTTAATGAAGTTTATTAATCAGTGAATAAAGCATGGTTACTAACGCGTATAATATCAAGTATTTTACCTTCATACGTGTTATGAGCTCTAATCTACAACAGTATATAATTTTTAGTCTGACACAGGCACGAAGGCTGTGAAGTTTTCTTCTAATTAATCGAATAACTGAATTATAATAAGCTAAATCTCCCTATGGCCGTCGAAATCATAACTGATTTGTCTGTCAAATAAAGCTACTTCTTGGAAGTGCGTTTCACAAGGAATTTGGGTCAGTTAACAATATGGAGGCCACATAGAAATACTTTGAGTTGCAGAGTTTGCAAGTCCCTGTTTTTGTTATAGCAGATTTGGAATGAGATAACGCAAATGTATTAAGTTCAGTTCAGCCACCATAGTTTTGTGATAATAAAGTACCAGAGAGAAATGACACGCCGTTACAACCAACCTTCTGTGTAACGATACTATTGTCGGGCTGAGCAATCCCATGCTATAAGGTCTGCTAAAATTTCCCTCTGGTTGTGACATTATTCGGTCAGTCTTATCGACTTCCAAGCTCAATAGGTACTTGAGGTTTCTAAAACGAAACTGTATTCCGTAAACAAATCAGGGAAGATATTAACAAGGTAACCTGACTACAAACAATGTTTGGTTGATGAAAACTTTCTATAGACACTCCATTGATGCAGTCAAATGTGCAATGGCAAGTCTACTCGAAACAATGGCAGGACAGACCACAGGACTACTTGGTGTTTATGACACTGTTGTAGTTTGGTTACAAGAATAAACGACTAGTAGCAACGTCCGCTAGGTTTGGACTTCCGGCCGAAGACGAACGAAAATTCCTATGGATACAATAGCAAGAGCGTAGTAAAATACATGATCCATGATAAATCGCCAGCACCATACATTGATACTGTACTTTGATATGACTAGCTTGGGCTCGGTCGAAGTTGTCACACCTCATTAGCACAACATGATGAATACCAAATTCATATAGTTATTTTAATGATATTAATATATAAAACAAAGATTGCATATAAGGATATAATACAGGGAGAAAGAATTAGTTCGTAGAGAGAAAGGCATAAAGCAAATTTAATCTCACGGTTTAAGACAAGACAAAGAGTGTATACACCTACACCACTGTGGCCGATTCTGAGCCATGTCACCCAGAGTCTCCAACTATTGGTTACGATAGTCACGCGGACCCCAACCAAGTAGTCTGCATCTACCAACATGGCTCAGACCAGCAGCACACTGGCAGCACGAAGAAATGAAGAGAAATACCTAAAGGATGTATTTCAGAAGAACGGCTACCCCACCAACTTCATCAAAAAATACCAACCGCACGCAGCATTAGAACTCAAGTCAAGCGCAAAAATCAACAAAAAGATCACCCTACCATATATACAAGGAATATCAGAAACCGCGACGAGACTGCTGAAAACCTTCGGAATAGGTGTGGCACACAAACCGACAAAATCACTACAATCAATCTTATGCAAACCAAAAGATGAAATAACAAAGGAAAACAAATCAAACATCATCTACAAGATAAATTGTGCCAACTGCGAAAAACACTACATCGGACAAAGTGGACGCCCCCTTCACCTTCGCCTACATGAACATCAATTAGCAGTCAAACGGCATGATATCTCTTCACTTATATCAATACACGTGGACAACTGCGGACACTCATTCGATTGGAAAAATGAGAAAACTCCAAAAACACCAGAGAATTTTTAGAAGCCTGGCACTCAGGTCAATCAGCAATCAACAAGCATATTGAAATCAATCCAATTTATCAACCAATCAGAAAAATCATGCACAAACATAAGAACAAAAATCAAAACAATGGGAGACACAACCAAAACAAAGAAGTAAACAACGACAAATTTAAGGTCAATAAGAACCAATCAACGTCGAGGTGCACAGAACAAGCTTTGAGACACATATGGAGAAAGTCAAACACTTCACTTCTATCTGAAGTTTGTGCTGATGATGTCGTTCAGAAGAACGATGGAAGCTTCACGACCAAACCATCCAGCTCAGAGAACAAAACTCCACCAAAATCATCCACCTGAGCTACAAATCTTCTCCACCATCTCAACTAACTTTCTTCCTGTACTGTCCTTTTTTTATATTATTATTATATATTACCACCACTGAATGAACTACTTCGATGAATTTGGTGTTTATCTTGTTATGCTAATGAGGTATGGCAACTTGGGCCGATGCGCATATGTGCCTGGTCCTACGTTGTAGCTGACTGACTGACTAGAACATGTCCAACACACTGAATTCGATGTTTCAAGATGGTGACACCAAATGAATCATCGTCACTGAGCCCGAACACACGATGCCGAACCTCTTCATTACTTAGTGTTGCCGCTGAATATCAGTAGTCCTTCGGAGACAACGATGATCAAACACAAGGTCGTCTAATATCATCAAATCGGAGGTCGAGTCTCACAAGTATGGGGCAAAACTGCTCTTACCGACCTGTTGTAGATCAGACCCTTCACAATCAGACTAATATCACGGTGACAGAGATTACCCAGATTAGCATAAGCCGCCCTGGCTTTTACTATACGTGAATCGATCACATCTTTCACGCTACCACCAGCTATCCAGACACGCGAACTACTCAACTACTTCTATCCATTCATTACCCAGGGTGGGTGCAGGTTCAAGATCCTATCAGTCTTGTAGAAGTACCTTGCACTTGGAAGGTGCAAAGCACGTGCCATACCTCCAGACACTAACTGCCAACTCACTAAGTGTGGATTGCATGAATTGGGTATCATTGCACAATATCATTCACAAACTTAAGGTCGAAAAGACTTCCTGCAAGTATCAGATCCACACCACCATTCCCTACATCCATTAGAGCTGTTTCCAGAACGTCATCCAAATGTCCTGGTATGGTCGAGGGTGAGAAGAGTTCGCTCTCCCTCTCCAAATGCTCTCATATAGCAACATGTATACAACCGCTGTCAGGGAAGTCCTACTCACTGCTTTCTCGCATTCAGGGTGTTGTTTACGAAATTGAGAGGACGAAAAGCGGATGTCCGGAGCTTTAACAGGGTTGGTGGACATAGGAGATCCACCTAGAGGAGTTGGAAAACCATGGTCCCAAACCAATAGTGCACATGAAATCCAGGATCCTGTGTGAACAAATCACATATGAACCAATTATTGGTCACCGGCTACCATGGGATCGCATCTCTTGACGTTGCTTCATCGCCTTGTGGACTAGACATTTAGGTCGAGGACTCCGAATGTAGCCCCATGAGAAAAATACCTGCCTTGGTTTGAGCACCCGGGCAGTATCCTAGCCCTCACACAAACCGAACGATTTACATGGCGCACATCTACCTTGTACCAGTGTGTGTTTAAGTAAATGAATAAATCTGTGCCAGGTTTGTCTTATAACTCCGCCTGAAGTCCCTCCGGGGGCTACTGCCGGTTTCAAGCCCGGATAACGGAGGAGGGTTGGGCATGGGGTTAGCGTCCCCATCCCGTAGAAAACTAACTCGCTAACCAGAAAAAATTATTCAAACCTTTTAAACTCTGCCCCGGGAGTCAGAAGGTCTTCATTTAGAAGAACTATGACGCCTCATGATGAAAGCCGAATTCCTTCAGAAGTTAAGAGGCCGATGGCCTTCCTGACAACCAGAGAAACCATTTATTTAGGTACATGGAATGTTCGTACAATGTGGGACACCGGGAGAGCCTTCCAAATTGCTGCAGAAATGAGAAGATACAACCTGGAGGTGCTTGGGATCAGTGAAACATTGGACGCAAGTTGGACAACAACGACTAGCTTCAGGGGAGCTTCTGTTATACTCCGGCCGTGATGAAGAAAATTCCCCACATACACAAGGAGTTGCACTGATACTGTCCAAACAAGCACAAAAGGCACTTATAGGATGAGAATCTCATGGACCAACGATCATCAAAGCCTCGTTCAAAACAAAGAAAGAGGGCATTTCAATGAACATCATCCAATGCTATGCGCCTACCAACGATTACAATGAAGACGCCAAAGATCAATTCTACAATAGGCTGCAGTCAATCGTCGAGAAGTGCCCAACAAAGGACCTGACCATTCTGATGGGAGATTTCAATGCCAAGGTTGGAACGGATAACACTGGATATGAAAACATCATGGGACGACACGGACTGGGAGAAAGGAACGAAAATGGTGAGAGATTTGCAAACCTATGTGCCTTCAATAAACTGGTCATAGGCGGCACCATATTTCCACATAAACGCATACACAAAACCACATGGACTTCACTGGATCACTCTACACAAAACCAAATTGACCATATCTGCATCAACAACAAGTCCAGGAGGACTATAGAGGACGTGAGAACCAAGAGAGAAGCTGATATAGCATCAGATCATCACTTGCTGGTCGCCAAGATGAGATTGAAATTCAAGAAGCACTGGACAATGGGGCGGACAATATCACAAAAGTTCAACACGGCCGTTCTTCAGGATACTAACAAACTCAACGAATTCAAGATAGACCTCAGCAACAAGTTCCAGGCCTTTCATGATCTACTCAATGGAGAAGGAACTACTGTGGAGAGCAACTGGAAGGGGATCAAAGAGGCAATCACTTCAACATGTCATGAGGTCCTGGGTCACAAGAAGCACCATCACAAGGAATGGATCACTGTCGATACACTGGATAAGATTCAAGAAAGGAGGAACAAGAAAGCAGCAATCAATACCAGTCGAACAAGAGCAGAAAAAGCCAAAGCACAAGCTGAATACACAGAAGTAAACAAACAAGTGAAGAGGAGCATCAGAACCGACAAACGTAAATATGTGGAAGATCTAGCAACGACGACGGAAAAGGCTGCAAGAGAAGGAAACATGAGACAACTGTGTGACACGACAAACAAGCTATGGAAATCGCCGCAAACCAGAACGACCAGTGAAAAGCAAGGAAGGCAACGTAATCACCAACATTGAAGAACAGCGAAACAAGTGGGTAGAACACTTCAAAGAACTCTTGAATTGACCAGCTTCAATGAACCCACTCAACATCGAAGCAGCACCCACGGACCTCCCAATCAATGTTGGCCCACCACTAATTGAAAAACTCAACATGGCCATCAGACAAATCAAGAGTGGCAAAGCAGCAGGACCAGACAACATTCCAGCAGAGGCACTGAAAGCAGACGTAGCGGCAACTGCAAGGATACTCCACATTCTCTTCAATAAGATTTGGGATGAGGAACAAGTACCAAAAGACTGGAAAGAAGGACTTCTGATCAAAATACCGAAGAAAGGTGATCTCAGCAACTGTGATAACTACAGGGGCATCACTCTTCTCTCAATACCGGGAAAAGTCTTCAACAGGGTATTGTTAAACAGGATGAAGGACTGTGTAGACGCCCAACTTCGTGACCAACAGGCAGGATTCCGTAAGGATAGATCGTGTACAGACTAAATCGCAACTCTACGGATCATTGTGGAACAATCAATTGAATGGAATTCATCACTCTACATCAACTTCATTGACTACGAAAAAGCATTTGACAGCGTGGACAGAACAACATTATGGAAACTTCTTCGACACCACGGCGTGCCTCAGAAGATAGTCAATATCATACAGACTTCATATGATGGATTACACTGCAAAATCGTGCATGGAGGACAGTCGACAAACTCGTTCGAAGTGAAGACCGGTGTTAGGTAAGGTTGCTTACTCTCACCCTTTCTCTTTCTCCTGGTGATCGACTGAATCATGAAGACGTCAACATCTGAAGGGAAGCACGGGATACAATGGACATCTAAGATGCAGCTGGACGATCTAGACTTCGCAAATGATCTGGCCCTTCTATCCCAAACGTAACAACAAATGCAAGAGAAGACGAACAGTGTGGCAGCAGCCTCAGCAGCAATAGGTCTCAATATACACAAAGGGAAAAGCAGGATTCTCCGATACAACACAGCATGCACCAACCCAATCACAATTGACGAAGAAGATTTGGAAGATGTAAAAACCTTTACATATTTGGGCAGCATCATTGATGAACAGGGTGGATCTGATGCAGATGTGAAGGCGCGGATCGGCAAAGCAAGAGCAGCATATTTACAACTGAGGAACATCTGGAACTCAAAGCAACTGTCAACCAACACCAAGGTCAGGATTTTCAATACAAATGTCAAGATAGTTCTACTGTATGGGGCAGAAACCTGGAGAACTACGAAAGCCATCATCCAGAAAATACAGGTGTTTATTAACAGTTGTCCACGCAAAATACTTCGGATCCATTGGCCGGACACTATTAGCGACAACCTACTGTGGGGGAGAACAAACCAGATCCGAGCGGAGGAAGAAATTAGGAAGAAGCGCTGGAAGTGGATAGGACACACATTGAGGAAAGCACCCAACTGCGTCACAAGACAAGCCCTCACACAGAATCCTCAAGGCCAAAGGAAAAGAGGAAGACCAAAGAACACGTTACGCCGAGAAATGGAGATAGACATGAGAAAAATGAACAAGAATTGGATGGAACTAGAAGGGAAGGCCCAGAACAGAGTGGGTTGGAGAATGCTGGTCAGCGGCCTATGCTCCATTGGGAGTAACAGGCGTAAGGTTTGTCTTTTATTTTATTGTACAGTATATGACCTGTTAATTAAGAACCAAGTAATATGATTCGCGCAGTTACAACGGGGTTAACTAGGTAGTGTATACAGTTAACTTGAAACTGATGGGTTGCTGGAGTGAATTTCATTCTACTTATCTAGGATGAGACACTTAGGAAGCATTAATGCTTAATAGTGTGCCCACGTGTTCATTTCAGTCTTATTTGAAAACTCGAAACATTAATTGAATTGAAGGCAGACAAGGTAAAGCAAAGCAACTCGAATGACTCAACAAATATAAGATCTATGCTGCAAAAAAGCTTAGGGGACAAATGTATTAACTGATAAAAAAGGTGTCACTTGAAGATAAAATATCTATAGGACTATCGTGTTGAGGTTACAGGGAGAGAAGAGACACGCGTACTTCAACACCATGGACACCAGCAAACTGTGTGGATAAAGAAATGCTGAGTGACAGATAAATCGGTCACTAGATGCCGAATCAGAACAGTTTTCCCAACAAAGGTGTGGCAAGCGTGAATATCACATACGAAAGATCCAGATGGAAGAAGTAATAAGTCGTTGTGCAAAAGTTAACTCATCTTCAGTATTGGACACCAAAAGGCCCTACTGAAGTATAATTCTACGAAGTTAGGAAAATAACAGGTGAGGACAATGAAAGCATATATATAGTCATATCCTACGTTTCATAAGACATGAAGAATTACGCAGGGCTAGGATTGTGTAAACAGAACATCCGTATTGCAATTACTTACCCTCTAGTAATCTACCAATGACACTATCAATGTTCACCTTATCATCCCCTGCCATTATCTCACGAGAAAATCGAAACTATGTTGACAGTACCGCCAAGTTCTTTTAAATCACCAAGTGTTCATTGGAAAGAATTTTGCGAAGGATGAAATTGAAATACATTTTATTCAGGGTATCTCTTTATATGTGATTCGGATTCTTGTAATCAGGTTCTACAATTATTTCCTGGAAGCATATGGTGTTTAATCGCAGTTTTGGAAGGACAGAAGACTAAAAGGACTGTGTTATTCCTTATTTCACACACTTCTCTCTTGAATTCGTCTAATGAAGGTTCCGTAAGAACCTGATGGAATAAAAAGTTTCGGCCACCGATGTTTAACCCAAAAGACCTGTATTTTGTTCCATCCTTGAGAGGTTTTTAAAAATCCAAATACTTACAGCCAGCTAGCCCATTTAGACTTCTTAGATTCCTCACAATCTCACTGGGGCAGAAAGAGCTTTAGTGGTGAGTGAGTCCTAAAACATTTAGTGGCTCTCTGTATTCAGCACAGACGGTAACCGTGCTAGTGTTACTGGATTCCCCCTTAGCCGAAGGGGCTTGATGTTGCTTCCTCACGAGATAAAATTCGGGTACTTCGTGCAGCTTATTTCTCGTGACAACTGGTCAGATAGTACTTCAAGCCCTACGACACCTCGAGACTCTGTTGTAGTGACTCACATTTATCACGAGAACACGACTGGTTTAATAAAAACAATTATTATTATAACCAAGTGTACCAGTGACTGTTTTAACGTGCTTTTGTTTGACTGTGCTAATGACAGCTATTTTGTGCTTCCATTCTCTTACTTACACTTTGATTGTAACTTCGCGCGAATTCGGTTACCTTCTGTAACCAAGGTTGTATCCTGGCACGATCTCGGTATCCTTTCGATGCCACGAGATCGCCAGCTAATAAACCTCGACTTGGTCCATTAATTGCCTTCTGGTATTCGGCTTCTCGGGGATTTTATGGAGTCATTTGGAACGAGCTTCTTACGCCTTCTGATCTAATTGGCACGTGTTTCTTGGTAGCGGTGTTCATAGTTAATCTCAACTCGACGCCACGCTACAATTGGTAATCCCAATACGAATACAATTGGTAATCCCAATTCGACAACATTTGGTGACCCGTATTTTGGAACACGCCTCAACTTCTGACCAAATCTTCCAAAGAAGCCAATTCGGTGAGTCTATGATTTATCTATCCACGTCTGTCGTATATTTTCATATTTTTTAATATATAATATACGCGACATGACGGATAACGATAAGAATAGTATTAATATAATAGACTCACACGTATGTGTACCGAATCCTTGTCACTTTTTATTCGCGTGATGATGAATTCCACGCTCTATTCGAGAAATGTTACCCTATTAACGATTCTCCTCGCTGACCCGGCTGCTTGGTACGGAATGCATACGCATAAGCATATCCGTCTACCACCCAGCACCAAATGGTTAAGTTGAACGGTTTCACTGCCAACTTAAAAGTGTTCTACGAGCACACGAAAACGGCAACTGGCACGAAACCTTACCGCTCGTTCTTTTAGGGGGGAGAACGAGCTTAAAGGCAGATATCCAATGTTCCGCCACTGAACTTGTATACGGCACGACATTGCGTCTGCCCGGAGAATCCTTCACACCACGGAGCAGACCTAATTTCGGTAAATCAGACAACGTCCGTCGACTGTCTGCATTTATGTGAACGCTGTCTCCGGTGTCAACTCGAATACAACATCGACAGGTCGCTCTCCCTCGAGAGTTATCTACCTGTTCACATGTTTTTGTACGAGTAGATTCGGTACGCAAACCTTGGCAACAACCTTACGAAGGCCCTTTTCACGTGATCGCTCGTCACGAAAAGACCTTCAAGGTTGATCGACATGGACGCGTCGAGATCGTCAGCGTTGATCGTCTCAAACCAGCACACGTCGATGACAGTGCCCTATCTGGTAACCTGAGATTCAATGCTAGACCTATTAAACCTAGCGGGATCCTTAAATCTTCAGGTCCCACGCTAGATGCATCTGAGACCTCATTCTCACGTCCCGGTCAACAGCACGCGTCATCTGCACCGTCTACGGACGAGACGATAGTCTCACGTCCAGATCAGCAGACCACGCCGCCTCTGACCTCGGATGAGATTGCAGGCTCACGCGACGCGAACGAGACTGCCGTCTCACGTTCCGGTCGCCGAGTACGGTTACCCGTACGCATCCGCGAATAGTCGCACAGTCAACAACCGATACGGTGTAGGATTATTCCTATACTACACGTATGCTACACTCTTCTTTTTTGATTTTCTTTTTGTTTCCTGAGCCCACGCCTTCGACCATCTCCGTTTGGTTCCGTCGACTTCAGTCAACTTTGGCGAAAGCTGGCCTGATCACCCACGCTCTTGTCAACGTACTCAGTCGATATATTGGTTTCGAATGCTTGGCATACGCTTAGTCTCGAACTTGGTCGTTACGGTCGCTTCTGGTCTTTTGGCTCAACGTGGTTTCGTCCTACGTCTGCAGCGTTTCTGGTGCGCACCTCTACGAACGCCCTCTTCAGATTCTGGATACAAACCACTCTGGTGTAGCATGCCGACTCGAGCAATAAATGCAACACATCGCTCCTGGTACCGTTCTCCGATAACGACCTTCGTTGGCAACTCGACGATCATCGATCGCTTTCCTGTTCGCCAATTCTACCGTCCTACAATCGCTCGTCAGCCGATCAGTCCCACGATTCAAACCGCTATTTATCGAAAGTGTAAACCCTTTCTAGCGGGGGGCTCCTGTAGTGACTCACATTTATCACGAGAACACGACTGGTTTAATAAAAACAATTATTATTATAACCAAGTGTACCAGTGACTGTTTTAACGTGCTTTTGTTTGACTGTGCTAATGACAGCTATTTTGTGCTTCCATTCTCTTACTTACACTTTGATTGTAACTTCGCGCGAATTCGGTTACCTTCTGTAACCAAGGTTGTATCCTGGCACGATCTCGGTATCCTTTCGATGCCACGAGATCGCCAGCTAATAAACCTCGACTTGGTCCATTAATTGCCTTCTGGTATTCGGCTTCTCGGGGATTTTATGGAGTCATTTGGAACGAGCTTCTTACGCCTTCTGATCTAATTGGCACGTGTTTCTTGGTAGCGGTGTTCATAGTTAATCTCAACTCGACGCCACGCTACAATTGGTAATCCCAATACGAATACAATTGGTAATCCCAATTCGACTACACTGTATTCCACAAATCAATCTACTGAATTCTTTCCCTGTATTTTTATATAAATATATGCTTTCAACACATTCGGTCTGATGTTACAGTTCGTCATTATTGTAGCGTTCTTTAAAGTCTAAAAATTAGCTCTTCTGGGTACAACCTTAAGCACGATATCACTCTCACTGAAAGGTTCAAAGAGAAGTATGGTGCTCAGCCAAAACATGAGACATACTGAATTCTCTTGATTGCTTTGAACTCCCAACCTATATAGTAACAAGGGCTTGACGTTCCTTTAAGTTTTGTAACTAATGGGGGAGACACTGTGTTACTCCTGCCACTATTATTTGGTGTTTCAGTCCTTCGCACATGATAATTACTCTCCACAGTCCATAGAAATATTATCCTCATGTCCAAGATCGTAGCCTAATGAACAAAAGGTCAAGCATCGTTTGCTAGGATTTATTTAACAACACATATTTCACCATGGTCATGAAAAACACATGTGAGCAAGTTATTTATCGTGTTGTTATCAATTGTGGTATGCAATGTGAAAAATGCAAGGGCTGGTTTCAAGTGACATGTACAGATTTCAAATTAACTGCTTACAACAGACTTAGTAAGTCAGATCGCATGTGGACATATGGCTCATTCGACACGAATACTGGAAACTTACTGAGTAACATTACTGTTTTTGCAACAGGTCTTTGTATTAAATTGTTAAGAACCTTAAAAAGAGTATTCTTGAAAGGCATAAACAAATAAAGACAAGCAGTGAAGTAAAGAAGTGGGTTAGACTCTTAGCAAACTTGTGTACACCAGTTGAGCTCCTAAGTCCCCGAAACTTCCACTGTAGACCACTAGATCTGCGTCAACAGGGTTAAAATGAACCGAACGTCGCTGTCAAAAATGCTGGTTAAAATCAGTTAATGAATCAGCCGTTCAATCTTCCCCAAACATTTAACAACCAGTCAACAAACTGCACGGGAATTAGGATCATAATACAACTAATAAACAAAAAAGATCGCAGCCTGAACGTGCTTGAAAATGTGGGAAAACGACCATGGTTCGCGACGATTCTCTCATTATCAAGAGCCCTGAAGACAGCTCTCACCTTCCCCTTAGTTTGCAGGACGAAAACAGTAGCTCGCATTAGTGAGAGTTTAACGTGATGACACAAAAAGAAGACCCAAACAAGCAAGATACTAATGCACAGAGTCAATAACGGAAGTCAAATTTTGAAATTAGCTACCGGCTGAGCTAGTCCAAGCGACTTCCTAGGAGCGTTTGAGAGTCCTTCCATTTGGTCCAACTCGAGAGCGACGTAAAGATTCCAATACAACTTTGGATACAAGTTGGTTTCTATGCACTCCTTTATAAAATCAACATTTGTCATCGCCTCACTGAGCCTTGCGCAATACTTCAGATACTCGTTGAGAACCTTTAACGCAAATGTTTGCTCAGAACGTTTCAATATAGTGAAAATTCCCATTTCGCCATTTATTAAATAAAGAAGGAACGAATTGAGCGAAAAATTTCTTTTCAATTAGTTGTTCATCATGGCTCTACACTAATATATATACGATTTACAATAATGGTATAATACTCCTCGAGTGGATACGTTACGTAACAATTACATGATTACATTTCTTCCAATTACTCAATGTTAATTTAGATGTCATTATGTAATTATTACGTAAAGTATCCACTCGAGGAGTATTATATCATTATTGTAAATCATATATATTAGTGTAGAGCCATGATGAAAAACTAATTGAAAAGAAATTTTTTCGCTCAA